TTTTTTTTTTTTTTTTTTAGTAGAGACAGGGTTTTGCCATGTTGGCCAGCCTGGTCTCGAAGTCCTGGCCTCAAGCAATCTACCTGCCTTGGCCTCCCAAAGTTCTGGGGTTACAGGCGTGAACCACCACACCCGGCCATATTTCATTTTATTTCTAATTATAGTGATGGGATCTCACTGTTTCCCAGGCTCATCTTGAACTCTTGAGCTCAAATGATCCTCCTGCCTCAGCCTCCCAAAGTGCTGGGATTATATAGGCATGAACCACTGTGTCTGGCCTCTTGTGTGTTTCATTTGTGCAGCATACGCATTAGGACTAGCTGTGTTTCAAGCACGAAGTGGCCATACATGGCTGATGTCCACTGTGTTGGGCAGTGCAGGTTTGGATAATTGGAGTCACATAATATGGGGATGTGGAAGCCCCACCCTTTCTGCCTTTGCCATCCGTGTCCAGTCCCCACCCTCACCCAGCAAGGACTGCACACAGCTGCTGGGGAGAGGAAGCAGAAGGAGTCAGGCTCCCTGGGGTTCAGGACCTAGCAAGGCAGGTGGCCAAGGGCTGGGGCAAAATGCCTTCAATGTGAACATCTTTTGGAGAGGATGGTCGTGGCTAGGGCTGGCTGGCCTGTCTGTGGCCTGGTTTAGACTGCAGGGTGGGTAGTGTGGGGTGGTAGAGGCCTCTAGCTGGGCTGTGATCTCTGGGGCCAGGACTGTCCCTTTCCCACCTGGTTCACCCTCTGGCTCCATCTCACAAATCTCAACTGAGGCAGTTCCGAGAACACATTTGTGAACAAGACAGCCCCGGTCCCTGCCCTGCAGAGCCCTCAGCCTAGGGAGGGAAAATGACACAAGATAAGGAAGTGTGCAGATAGATCAGCGTGGAATGTCAGGCTGGGTGTGCCCCCAGGGTGGGGCCCCAAAATACATCTCTAGTGACATGACAGCTTGACGTTCTAGAAAGATTTAAAGTCCTGAGTTTGTATCCTTGCATGATCATTTCATTACTGGGGAACTTGGGCCAAGTTTACAATCTTCTTTGAGCCTCAGTTTACCTATCTGTAAAATGGGGATGATCTTGTCTGTGTCCTGCCTCCCTCATGGTATGGGGGGACTGGCATGGGTGGGATGCGTGTGGCTGTATAAGCAGGACAAGCTGTCTTCATAGTCGAGGGGTGAGGGTGAGGCCTAACTGCCTCCCAGGACTCTGCACGCAGTATGGCCAGTGTGAACTCGGCCTCTTGGGCCTTGGACTTCCTGGCTCTGCAGGGGTCAGGGAGGGATTGGGAGCAGGAGCCTGTTGTTCCACCCAGGCCCAGGATGTGCAGGGATGGCTTGGTGGGGTGGGGGGCCGAGGAGTGAGCTGGCCCCTCCCCTACAGTATCCCCCTACCTCAAGAGCCTGTCCATGGTGACTGCCAACAAGTTGCTGCACCTGCTGGAGGCCTTCTCCACCACCTGGTTCCTCTTCTCTGCCGCCCAGAACCACCATCTGGTCTTCTTCCTCCTGGAGGTCTTCAACAACATCATCCAGTACCAGTTTGACGGTGAGGCACCAGCCTGAGGCCCTGGTGATCAGGGTGGCCAGTGGGCCTCCTTCCTACCTAAGGAGGGCACAGCCCAGGAGGTGGCCTCTGGGAGGTGCTGTACTGCTTGCCTTCTGCCCCCAGTTCATTCATTCAGTGTACATTTATTGAGCATCTATAGTGTACCTGGGTACAGGGGATACAGTGGGGAACAAAGCTTTGCTTCTTGCCCTGTGGAGCTCACAGCTGGGGCTGGAGGCAGGGAGGGAGGCTTCAAACAGATGATTACCCTCTAATGGACATCTGAATTTTTTTTTTCCGATGGCATCTCACTCTGTCACCCAGGCTGGGCTGCAGTGGCGTGATCTTGGTTCACTGCAATCTCCTTCCCCCAGGTTCATGCAATTCGCCTGCCTCAGCTTCCTAAGCAGCTGGGATTACAGGCGCCCCCCAATATACCTAGCTAACTTTTTGTACCTTTAGTAGAGACAAGCAATCTGCCTGCCTTGGCCTCCCAAAGCACCAGAGTTACAGGCATGAGCTATTGGGCTGGGCTTTCCCCTTTGCAGGATTTCACCATGTCAGCCAGGCTGGTCTCAAACTCCCGACCTCAAATGATCCACCTGCCTCGGCCTCCCAAAGTGCTGGGATAATAGGCGTGAGCTGCCACACCTGGCCTGAAGTGTGATAAAAGGGAAGTGCAGAGTAGTAAGACCCTGATGGGCATCTTAGCAGCCTGTCTGCCCAGTGTCGCAGACACCCGGCTGCCTGCTGTCACTTCAAGCCTTGCCACTCGTTAGCCCTGTGACTGGGGCACGTCACCTGACCTCTCCGAGCCTCAGTGCCCTCATCTGTAAGTTGCTCATAACAATGGTTCTAAGAGTCCTGGTCTCAGAAGGTATTGGGAAGATTGAGCAAAATAACCCCCAGAAGGCACTTAGCACAGTGCCTGGCAACTTAAAAATGATCAATTTTTATTATTGCTATGTCCAAAGTCAGTCAAATTTGCAGTGATCTCTGAGGGAGAAATAGGGGTAAGGTGGGACAGGAGACAGCACATGCAAAGGCCCTGGGGTGGGATGTGGAACTGAAAGTGAAGAGTATGGCATGAGGCGGACCAGAGATGGGGAATGGGGCCTGAGAGCTGGGAGAAGTCAGCAGTGGGGGATGGACGGCAGGCACACGCCACGTTATCCTCCGTGACTCCTCCTGGCCACCATGCTTGGGGAGAGTCAGAATACTTAACAGCTGGCCTGCTGTGGACGCTGCCATGCTGGGGCCTGTCCTCCTTGCCAGGTGTTAGCCCTTTAGTGCTGGGTTGTGGAGGGGGACTCAGAGGCACTGGGGCAGGGGTGTTGTGGGGTGCTCTGGTCTGACATGCTGGGATAGCCATAGTGGGCACACATAGCCAGTGCCAGCAGCCCTGCCCCAGCACTCTCTCTTGGGCTCCCTGTACCATCTCCAACCCCTTGGGCAGACACCCTCCTGTCCTCCAAACTCCCCCTTCCAGGAAGCCCACCCAGATTGGACCGGGGGAGCTGGAGGGGGCCTTCCTGAGGTGAGGCATGCTCCCTGCCCATAGGCAACTCCAACCTGGTCTACGCCATCATCCGCAAGCGCAGCGTCTTCCATCAGCTGGCCAACCTGCCCACGGACCCACCCACCATTCACAAGGCCCTGCAGCGGCGCCGGCGGACACCCGAGCCCTTGTCTCGCACCGGCTCCCAGGAGGGCACCTCCATGGAGGGCTCCCGCCCCGCCGCCCCTGCAGAGCCAGGCACCCTCAAGACCAGCCTGGTGGCTACTCCAGGTCTAGTGCTAGTGGAAGGGAGAGGAGCGTGGATACCGGTGTGGCTGGGGGAGGGACACGGTCTCAGGGTGTCACCCCCATCTCTGGCAAATAGCGTGGCTTGTGTATGGAATCCGAGGGGATGGGGCTGGGCAACAGGGATGGGGGGAGGGTACTGGCTGGGCTTAGCATGTGTAGCTTGGTGTTGGGGGCAGAGCCTCAGGGCGAGTGTAGACTCTGGAGGGATGAGCACAGGAGAGGGTGTTGCAATGATCAGACACTGCCTCTAGAGCCAGCGGAGGTTCCAGAGGGAAGCAGGAGTAAAACAAACACAAATAAAAAGTAAAGTGGGTGGAGGAAGGGCTAGAAGGGGCACTGTGGAGGGGGGTCCTCACTCCCACCTGTGCCCTGCCCAGGCATTGACAAGCTGACGGAGAAGTCCCAGGTGTCAGAGGATGGCACCTTGCGGTCCCTGGAGCCTGAGCCCCAGCAGAGCTCAGAGGACGGCAGCCCGGCCAAGGGGGTGGGTGATGGGGACTCCTGGAGCCAGGCGTGGCTGGCCCTTCCCTTCTCCCCTGGCCTCTGCAGTGGGGGCTGGGCCGGGGCACTCTGGGGTCACCTGCAGCAGAGGGGCAGACACCCAGTGCCCAGGACATTAGGGCCAGCGCTGCTGACTCCCTTGGGGGTGGGGGCCTTTCACAGATCCCTCCCTTGTTTACTGGTCCCGGCGAAGCCCTTGGCCTTCAGACTTCTCATCTCTCCGCCTTATCTGAGCTGGCCTTTACCCAGCCTGCCCTGTCAGCCGCTGGCCCTAAACCCGTCACTAGGTTGGGCTGGGCCTGGGGCCTGGGGCAAAGGCTGCTGGGCTGGGCCTTCCCCTTTGTGGGATTTCCAGCTGTCAGTGGAGAGGGCTCATTGCCCCCCACTCTACCCCTCACCCAACCCTGCCATCCCTCACCCCTGTTCTTTTCTGGGGGCCAGGAGCCCAGCCAGGCATGGAGGGAGCAGCGGCGACCATCCAGTTCATCAGCCAGTGGGCAGTGGAGCCCAACGCCGGAGTGGGTGAGGGACCCCATGCCAGGCGAGCAGGGGCTGGGGTTTGGGCAGATGGTACAGGGGCGGGAGCTGGGTGGGGGTTCCCTGGCCCAGGGAAGCTCAGTGAGGATGGCAATGAGTCCGAATCGAAGGACCCTGGCGTAGCAGCCTGGCTCCGGCTCGGTCCTTCCGGCTGGTGACATCCCACGTGTTCGGCCTCTCTGGCTCGGTTGCTTCCTTTGTCTCCACTGTTGCCAGAGTCCCCAGCAGGATTAAGCCCCAGGCGCCCTCAGTGCTCTCTTCCTTAATAAATCACTCTTTCCGACTTCCTTCCCTGAATCTCATCCCCACGCCCTGTGTCTCCTGAGATCACGCCAGTTGCACTGGAACAGGGATAACTGCCGTTCCTGCCTGACCACGCTGTTGTGAGGGCTAAAGGCGACAGTCTCCCGAAAGGCACGTGGCACAGCCATGGCTTAATGCGGAGCCATGGCGCTTGCCATCAATAACAATGAACTGTTCCGGGGTCCTGCTTGGTGCCAGGCTCGTGCTGCAGGGAGCAGGGGTGCTTTCTGCCTTGGGGAGCCTGTGGTTCTGGGTCAGGGTCAGGCTTGCCCTGCAGCCTCCAGGGGTTGCTTTCTCAGCCCCAGGAACCCCATCCCTCCCCAGGTCCTCTCCTGGAAGTCAAAGCTGCCGCTGCAGACCATCATGAGGCTGCTGCAGGTGCTGGTTCCGCAAGTGGAGAAGATCTGCATCGACAAGTGAGTCGGGTGCCAGCAGGGCCAGGGGGTGTGGGCGGGGCCGGGGTGTGGGCAGGGCCAGGGGTGTGGGCAGGTGGACTCTGGGCGGGGCCAGCCTAGGCTTAGGTGGGTGTATGATGGGAAGCATGGGTCTTGGGAGTCCAGAGTGAGCCCTGTGCTCCTCTAGACCACGTGAGTGTGCTGGAGACACCCCTCTCCCTGCAGGGGCCTGACGGATGAGTCTGAGATCCTGCGGTTCCTGCAGCATGGCACCCTGGTGGGGCTGCTGCCCGTGCCCCACCCCATCCTCATCCGCAAGTACCAGGCCAACTCGGGCACTGCCATGTGGTTCCGCACCTACATGTGGGGCGTCATCTATCTGAGGTGGGCCCCGGCGGGTGGGGTGGTGTCCGCCTGAGAGCCTGCCCAGCAGGGCTCAGCAAGGACCTCAGCTCTGGGCCCCACCACCCATGGTGGACTTCATGTCAAGACAGTCAACTAAGGCAGCCTTGCCTGGTTGAGGGTGGCACCTGCAGCCCAGGGTGGGACATCGCGATGGAAAGGGTTGGCTTGGCCATTCCTGCCACCCAGCTCCTCCTGGTGCCTTGTCTGCAAGGTGCCCCAGCACCTGGGTAACCCCCCACTTCCTCCACAGGAATGTGGACCCCCCTGTCTGGTACGACACTGATGTGAAGCTGTTTGAGATACAGCGGGTGTGAGGATGAAGCCGACGAGGGACTCAGTCTAGGGGAAGGCAGGGCCCTGGTCCCTGAGGCTTCCCTGACCCACCATTCTGAGCTTTAAATTACCACAATCAGGGCCTGGGACAGGCAGAGTGGCCGAGTCCTGAGTGTCAGGCCCCAGAGACCCCTGTGGCCAGGACAATGTGGACCGACTCTGATCTCCCTCAACCCCTAGGCTGGACTCACAGGAGCCTCATCTCCGGGGCTAAGCCCCCACCAGAGACCACTGCCCCCAATAGTCAGACTCCCCCTTTAAGACCTGGCTCAGTGCTGTCCCCTCAGTGCCCACCCACTCCTGTCCTGCCCAGTGCCAGAGGCAGAAGCCATCAGGTCACTGTGCCCTAAGGGGTTTGACCAAGGAACCATGGGCTGTCCCTTGAGGTGCCTGGGCAGGGTGAGGGGGTGCTTCCAGCATCCTAACCCGAAGCCAGCTGTTTCAGGCTCCAGGGGAAATAGGTGTGGCCAGGCTGCTCCTCAAGGAGGCTGGGAGCTGGCTGACTGCAAAAGCCAGGCTGGGGCACCTCCCGTATACTTGAGCATGGTGTGGGGTGGTGAGGGTCTCCCACTGTATTCTCCTGGTCTGTGGAAATAGCCTGGCTCCCTCTTACCCAGTAATGAGGGGTAGGGAAGGGAACCGGGGGGAGCCATTTAGTCCTCCCTGCCCTGCCCACTGCCTGGATGGGGCGATGTCACCCCCTCATCCTTCCCCCAGCTCTGGCCCCTGGGTCCCGCCCCCCAACCCCCTGTGTCAGAACAATCTTTGCTCTGTACAATCGGCCTCTTTACAATAAAACCTCCTGCTCCACATTCTGACTCTGCGGTTGAGGCGAGGGGCCGGATGTGGTTCTTGTCTTCACTGGAGCTGGGGACTCTGCACCTCAGAGGGCCCCCAGTGCATGACTGGGAACCAGCATTTGTTATTTTCTTGGGTGGGAAAGCAGGATTAGATCCTGTCACCTAGGGTTTGGGGCCCCTGGGCTGTTGCCACCCAGAGAAAGAGCCCACAGGAGAGGCCATGGGGCCACCCCAGGCAGCTACTGAGACAGCGCGGGCAGGGCTGTGCTTGCTAGTGATTCACTTCGGTGGCAGGGGGCGGCGGGGGGGCATGAGGAGGAGGGCAGAGCCTCATCTGCAGGGCCAGGGCTGCCCTCTCTGGCCTCGCCCCAGGCAGAGCCCACTGTTTGCACTGGGCTCAGGGAGATGGATGGCCTGCCACACCTGCCCTTTCCCTTCCATTCCTGCCCCACCTGATGGCTCAGGAGATCAGCCCGGGGCCACAGCCTGCATGGAGAGCCAGCTGCAGAATGTCACTGGGGGCTCTGTCCTAGACAGACGGTGTGCTGGGGAGGGGTGGGGGTGGAGAGACACGAGCCCCGACCTGTCTCTCCCACCTCCTCCCCTGGATCAGACCAAGGAAGAACTGGGTGACCCTCCTGGCCCAGGAGGACAGTCCCAGGAGCAGGACTATCCCAGCCCCACAGCCCTACCCAAAAGGACCATTCCTTCCCACCATGCCCGAAGGAGCAGTTCTGTTCCTGGGAACAAATGCCACAAGCCTGAATGCAAAAAGTCGATCAAACAAATAGGGTTTATGCCGCAGGAGAGAGCTGTTGAACCCTGCCTGGCACCTAATGAATGAGCTCATTAGGAGATAGGTGTGTGGGGAAAGGAGCTGGCCTCCCAGCTCGGAGCTCTGAGCTCTGAGGATGTCCAGAGCCACACTAGGACCAGGTGCTCTTCTTGCAGCAGGGGGCAGACCCCTGAGGCCTGGCTGGAGAGGGGCGCCCCTCGCTAAGCTCCCCAGACTCGGTCATGTAGGTCTGACCCTCCCAGAGAGTAGCCGTGAGGGGGCCCCTGTCAGCCTCCTGGGGTGCACCGTTGGCTCGCTGATTGTGGTGGAAAGGCAGGCGGCAGGCATGTGCCCAGGCCTGGCCATGGGCATCAGAAGCTCAGTGTCCAGGCCCCTGCCCTTGGCCTCTGACTATAGGCCGTGCCCTCCCCTTCAGTGAGGCTCTGGAGGGCAGGAGGCTTTGGGAGCCTCAGGCTGGTCTCTGTACCTCAGAATGAGGCATCTGGGCTACCATCTTCCCTGCCTTGGCACTTCAAGGTTCTGCCGGGGGTGGGCAGCCTCAGGCCCCCAGGTAGACCTCCACCAGGCCTCCCACAGAGTGCATGCGGTAGAAGACCCCCAGAGGCAGGCCGAAGTTGACGATGGTGAACCATATCTGGTAGCCGTAGAAATCCTTTTCTAGCCCATTCTCAAACTCCGGGTGTATGCCAAATGCAGGCATCATCCACAGCTGGGGGAGAGGACGTGCTGAGTTAGGGAAGGGCTCTCCTGTGCCCTAAGGCACTCAGTTCAGGGGAGGCAGCCCCCAAACCTGCAGCCCCTTCAGTGCCACCCCCACCTCCCACTCAATCTTCCTCTAACTGTTGGGCTTTCAGCATGAGCTCTTCTTTCCCCAGATCTTTCTCACTCTACTGCAGAAGGCCTTGGCCATCCCCGCCATCTCCGTGAGCTTGCCTGTGGCCAGCCTGAACTTCAGATGGGTCAGGAGACCCCGGGCTGCCGCCATGTGTGGGGAGAAGCAGGAATTCCCAGCGTGCCACCTGCTCTGTCAAGCTGGGCACCCCCACCCTGTACCCTGAGCTCGGGCTTCACTCCTCGGCTAGCTACTTTTTATTTTTATTATTTATTTATTTATTTGAGATAAGGTCTCACTCTGTCACTCAGGTTGGAGTGCAGTGGCAGGATCACAGCTCAATGCAGCCTCAACCTCCCGGGCTCAAGTGATCCTCCCATCTCAGCCTCCCAAGTAGCTGGGACTGCAGGCATGCACTATCATGCCTGGCTAATTTTTATTTTTATTATTATTATTTTTTAAGAGATAGAGTCTCACTCTGTCACCCAGGCTGGAGTGCAGTGGCACAGTCTTGGCTCACTGCAACTTCTGCCTCCTGGGTTCGAGCGATTCTTGTGCCTCAGCCTCCCGAGTAGCTGGAATTACAGGTGTACACCACCATGCCTGGCTAATTTTTGTATTTTTAGTAGAGATGAGGTTTTACCATGTTGCCCAGGCTGGTCTCCAACTCCTGGCCTCAAGTGACCCACCCACCTCAGCCTCCCAAAGTGCTGGGAGTCACCGTGAGCCACTGTGAGCCACTGTGTCCAGTGAGCCACCGTGTCCAGACTAATTTTAAAATTTTTTTGTAGAGGCAGGGTCTCCCTGTGTTGTCCAGGTTGGTTTTAAACTCCTGGGCTCAGGGGATCCTCCTGCCTCGGCCTCCCAAAGTGCTGGGATTACAGGTGTGAACCACTGTGCCCCGTCATTTCTGCTAGTTATAACCCCCTGCCCCCTCCTACCTTCCTGTCCAAATTCTACCCATTCCTCAAGGCTCAAATCAAACCTTCATGAAGCCTTCCTTGGCTATACAGACCCGCAGTTCCTTTGCTGAGCTCCTAATGCACTTTAGAGCCAATTTATCCTCTGCCTGGACCAGAGGTTTCATTTCTGGGGTATGTTTTCAGTGCATTGAGTGCTTGGGGTCAAACAACCCTGAGTTGTCCCAGCCCTGCTACTTACAGGCTGTGGGTACTTGGGCAGGTCCAATAACCTAAGCCTTAGTTTCCTCCTCTGTGAAAAGGGACAGCAATAGTGTCTGTTGCATGGAATTACTGTGATGATTCAATGAGGTATGGAGATATTGCATAGAAAGGTGTACCTGGGATATCCACCAGAAACTGGGCAACCATTATCAACATCTTCCACTAGGAATGTCTTAGAAAATCAGGTACTTCCTGATTTCTTTCTTTGACTGAATCCAGGGATGATGAATTCAGTGGTGTCTTCCCAACTAGATGGGAAGTCACTGGAAGGTAGAAGTCTTACGTACTTGTTTGTGAAGAGCACTTAGCCAAATGCTTGGCACATTCATTCATGCCAGGCACCTTGTAGGGAACTGGGGGGACACTCTTAAGCAGCATCAAGCTAGTTGGAAAAAGATGTGTCCTTGATCCATCCCTTCCTGAGTGAGGCTTTCTGGGTCTGCCTGGCGCCTCTATCCCCCAGGCCCCTTAGCCCAGTCACTTACTGTGATATTGCAGAGGATGAGGAAGAGTGAGATCTCCTTGAGGGCCCGCCGCTTCCAGTTGAGGTGGCTGTAGGAGTGGATGTAGGCCAGTGAGGCCCGCTGCAGGCCCTGGCCCAGCTCCAGCAGGGAGCCTCTGCGGGGAGGCTCAGCCTCCTGCTTTCTTGCCAGGCCCTCGGGAACTGCCTCCCAGAGTGGGCGCCGGTGCAGGCCCTCGATGATGAAGAGGTTCTGAGCGATGTGCTGCAGGATGAGCAGCAGCGAGTAGGCCAGGATGAGGCGGTTGAGCAGCTCATGCGGGTGCTTGGCCACAATGGCCACAATGGAGAAATAGGCGATGCCCATCTGGCCCAGTGCAGCACCCATCAGCAGCACCACATCCAGGCTGCGGGTAGGGTTCTTGACCGTGTCCAGCTCTCGCTCCTCCAGCCCGTGTATGGCTGTGCCCGCCAGGCATGCCAGGCTCATGGCGGGCAGCACAGCCACATAGAAGGCATAGTAGAGAGTGAAGTACTGGTAAGCAATGGCAGAGCCACTGGCCTCGATTTGGAAGAGCACAAAGACGCACACGCCTGCCAACAGCACCAGCAGGCCCAGCAGCAGCCCGAAGATGGCCCCGTGCAGGTGGAAGGGCACAGTGCCAGGGTGGGCACCCATGTGGGGTGCCACACTGCGGCCCACATTCTTCCACATGACAAACAGCACGGCACAGCAGATGAGGCAGTACTCAGTGCTGAAGGGGTACAGCATCAGGAAGCCCCTCCGGAAAGCTTCACACACGGTGGCATTGAGGCACAGACAGGTGTTGGTCTCATTGCCTGGTGCGGGGGGCAGGGTGGGAGGGGCAGACATTCAGGCAGGCCCTGCTCTGAGGAGACTGGCTACACAGATCCCTCCCATTCCCTGGAATACACCAGAGCTGAAAGAGACCCAGTCGCTCATTTTATGGATGTGGAAACTGAGGAGATCAGAAAAGAGATCAGAAATCCCACAGAATGGCCATTCTTTTTCAGAGGAATTGAAGACTTGAGATGCCAAACTTATGTAAAGCATTAAAAACATGATGCCAGCCAGGCGCAGTGGCTCATGCCTCCAATCCCAGCCCTTTGAGAGACCAAGGCAGGAAGACTGCTTGAGCTCAGGAGTTCAAGATCGACTTGGGTAACATGGTGAGACCTCATCTCTACTAAAAATAAAAAACATGGCCAGGGGTGCTGGCTCACGCCTGTAATCCCAACAGTTTGGGAGGCTGAGGCAGGTGGATCACCTGAGGTCAGGAGTTAAAGACCAGCCTGGGCAACATGGTGAAACCCCGTCTCTACTAAAAATACAAAAATTAACTGGGCATGGTGGCACATGCCTGTAATCCCAGCTACCTGGGAGGCTGAGGCGGAAGAATGGCTTGAGCCCGGGAAGCGGAGGTTGCAGTCAGCCAAGAATGTGCCATTGCATTCCAGCCTGGGCGACAGAGCGAAACTCCATCTCAAAAACAAACAAAAAAACAAAAACAAACAAACAAAAAAATTAGCCAGGTGGCACACGCCTATAGTACCAGCTATGTGGGAGGCTGAGGTGGGAGGATCACTTGAGCCTGGGAGGTTGAGGCTGCAGTGAGCCGTGTTCCCATGACTGCATTCCAGTCTGGGTGACAGAGTGAGACCGTGTCTCAAATAAACCAAAAACCCTCACGTGATGTCTCTGGTGCCAAAGGTCACCTC